TTCAGGCCCATGTTGTCTTTTTTTATTCTGGCGTGGCGCTTGTTGTTTTGGCCCAGTTGGCGAGTCTCCTTTCAACGCCCCATCGTCATCGCGATTCGGCAGCCATGGCATTCGGGCGCACGAAAGAGGACCCGCCAGGGGCGGCCCACTCATACTCAGATTCACTTACTTAAAGATCCACTCGTGCTCAATCGTGTTGAGTCGCTCATGCCCCAGCACTACCACACACGGAACTCGTCAGAAAAGGGGTGGACATCGTGATGCCAAATTTCGAGTGATTGACGATGCCGCGCCTAGAGGGGGGCCTAGGATGACGACGGCAATGAGGCGACGTCAAATCCGATCAAATTCGAACCCAGGAAGCATCACTAGGTTCATCGTGGCCAGCTTTTTAAGCCGCATGCGGCCGAGGAGGCGAGAACCTTCAGAAACGCCTGGTCGCGTCCGAGACGACGGCGACGACCATCACGACGACGACGACGACCTCGTCCTGCGACTTCGTATGGTTGACATGACGTAGGCCCCTGGGGGTCTGGACCCATTCGTTTAGATGTGTTTTTCACACGTTCCAGGGGCCAGGCAGGGGCACCATGAGATTGAAAATTGCGCAGAGCTGTCCACTGCGTCATGTTCACGACGCGAGGGGGTTCTGGGGGACGACGACACCGCACGGCGGCAGCGGCGGCGGCGGCGGCGGCGGCGACGACGACGACGACGACGACAAGCACGACGGCGACAAGCACGACGACGACGACGACGAAGACAAGCACGACGACGGCGATCATGACGACCGCGACGACGACGACAACGAGGACGACGGCGGTGGCGGCGGCGGCTGCGACGACGACGACGACGACGGCGAGCACGACGACCGCGACGACGACGGCAGCGCGGCCACCTTGACGTCATCGTCGTCCACGACGACGATCGGCGGCGCTCGGCCGAGGTGCCCGGGCTCGCCCGTGCCGCCGCGCTCGCCCGCCCGCCCGGGGCCCGCGGCGGCCGCCCTGGCACGTGCGAGGAGACCGCCGCGCTTGGAATCGCCGCTTGCCTGCACCGGGCGGGGCCGGATACAAGCAAGGATGTCGATGAGATCGGTATTCCAGGTCTCTCAAGAAGCGTGGGGGGGTGGATCGCGTGGGGGGTGGGAAACCGCTGTCCTCCGGGGGGCGTGGGGAGGGTGGGGAGCGAGAGGGGGTGGGTTTGGGGCCCGTGGGGGGGCGGGCAAGGGGCGTCGGACAGGTTGGCACGGGGGGGGTGCTTTTTGAAGGATGTGGAGTATCGTGCAACTGACCCCTTATGGGTGGACCTGTACGGTGTTTTGGCCATGTCGTGGGCCATGTTTGTGTCGATGTCATTGTGCAGCAGAGGCGACGTTGAACCAAAACGAGGGAAAACGATGACAAAACGAAAATGGAAAACATTGCTTAGGTCGAGCCCTGCGACCCCTATCCCCAGATCCCCGTCCAAGAGCCCCACCAATTTTTCCACCCAAGTTGGGGAGGTATCCCTCGAAACCCGAAGGGATCAGCCTATATCGGCCTCTTGGGGGCGAATCGGCCAGGGGGGCCCAGGCCACGCCGTGGGGGATAGGGCTCGTATAAACGATGCTCATGATGATGATCATGCTCCAAGTCGACGCGTGATGGCGTTCTGATGTGTCGGAGGCTTTGTTATGGATGCCTTGGAAAATACAGAACCGAAATACATCAGAGCTCATGCTCGTGCGCGAAGAGGGGCAGTCAATGATTACACAGCCTGCTTGCCTCGGGAGCAGAGAAAGCGCTCCAGGCACAGACCTGCTCGCATCGCGAACAACAAATCGATGGAAGGCTGTTGCTGGTCGGCCTCGGGGGCCCTCGCCCAGGTTCTTCAGGAATGGCTCGTGCTGAAAAGTCGTGGTTCAAGTTAAGTTTGGCCTGTCCCTCTACAGGAGGATTATTGAAAAGTAGGCAAATCAATAGTCTGGACACGATTTTTTCGACTATGTTGTACCATCTTTGATTATGCTTTTGATTGTTTTATTGTTCGTCCAAATTCCGCATGTAGGGGGGCACGCACGCCTCGACTAGTACAGTCGAGCTTGGGCAGTAGGTCGACCCTGCCCAAACAAGGGTACCCTTTGTCTTGCTATCGCTCGGGCGTGTGTACTTTTCCTTGGCGGGGATTATTAAGGAGCATCCTGGATCATCCCACGAAAAAAAAACCACGCACGAAACCGACAAAAAGCACAGGGAATGGACGTCCGAGCGATGGCCAGTTGTACCCTGTGTTTCGCGGCCCATGCCCTCTACGTTCTACTGGCAGTGTGGCCATCGGAAGGGTCTTGTGTCCCTCGCGTGTCCTCTCCAATCCACCCCGGCCGGATTCAACAAATCCAGACATCGGATGTCAAGGAGAGTTGTCCGCAGCATTCTGGATCGGACGCGGTGCCCTGCACATGCTCCGTGACCACAGGATCTCAGAGATTTTCGCTTTGTATCGCTCGGACGTGTGCGTTTTTTTTCTCGGCGGGGAGTATTCAGGAGCATCCTGGATAATCCTGCGAAAAAAAACACGCACCAAACCGAAACATGCACGGGGAATGGACGTCCGAGCGATGGCGAGGACATCGGATGTCAATGAGAGCTGTCCGCAACATTCTGGAATTGACGCGGTGCCCTTCACATGCTCCGTGACCACAGGATCTCAAAGACCAATATCTTGGTTCGACTCTGTCTTGGGGCTGATGCCGTCTTGCTGCAGTCAACCTGGAGGGCGGTCCCTTTTTTGCCGAAGAAGAGCAAACTGCACTAGGAGGTCCGCGCGGATTTCTTGGATCTATTTTGGAGCCCCTTGGCGCGCGGAGCGCGCCAGGGAGTGGGGTCCAGCACTGATCCGAGAAATCCGCGCCGACCTCCAGAAGTTAATGTTCATGCAGTTTGTTGCTCCTCTGTTTTGCCAGAGCGGCAAGGCTCGTTGCACATGGTCGGTATCGCGCATGCTGCCCCGCTCGAAATGATGACATGTTAGAGTGGGCCTTATTAAACGAGCGCCGAACAGACCCGAGACAGCCCCAAGATGGCCCAAGTGGTTGATTCTCTCTCGCACCCCCCCGTGGTCCCCGAGGGCTCGGGAGAGAGCCCGTATCAAGCCTTTTGGAGGCGATGTCAGCTTCCAGAGACTTCCGAGATGGTTCCAGAGGCCGCCAAAACGGTCCAGCATGACCGCAGACCCTCCAAGATCAGTCTATGACAGCCCTGAGAGACCACAGGATGCACGGAGAAAGACCCCACGAAGCCCCAAGAGAGGCCCCACGGAGCCAACAAAAACAACCAAACAATTGAGGCTTCTCAATGTTTGTGTTACCATGACGAGGCTTCCCAATGTTTGTGTCCTCATGGTGTGTTTCCTTCATATGGCTTTCGGAGCACTTCGGAGGCGCCGAGGACGCCCCAGAAGGAGGATCGAAGAAGGCCGCCAGACGAGCAAAGGCCGCCTCCAGCCAGCAGAGCGTCACGGCAAGGGGCCGACGGATCCCCAATGCGGCCCATGAGAACGGATAGAGACGGCCTCAGGGCTTCGAGAGCGCCCCCGAGGAGCTACCAGACGCGCCGAGAAGGCCCACGACGTCCAGAGGAGCTGCAGAGGCCCCAAACAGCCCTCAGGGGGCATCAGGGGGAGGCCCCGAAGACGGCCCAAACGGGGGCCTCAAGACAGCCCTCAGGGGGCATTGGAGGTTTCGAAGGCAGCCCAAACGGGGGCCTCAAGACAGCCCTCAGGCAGTCCAAGGTGGCCCCAGGAGACAAGCGCGGCCTAACATATCATGACATTTCGTTTTAAAGCAACTTGAAAACGAAGTTCGGAGTGCCCCGAGCTCCCCCATGAAATAATACCGTCCTGCGAAAGACCTCCCATGTATAGCTTCATCAGGGGCCCTCTTTGGAGAGCCCTGGGCGATCCGAGGGGGAGCCCCGGACAACCTAAAAACGCTCCGATGAGGCCAACAGGAGCTGGTTGGGCGATTCAGGGTTCCATGGCAGTGTGGCGCGTCGATGTGGAAGTGGCTGGGGATGGGGAGGGATAGGTTGGTCAGGTGGAGGAAGAGCAGCACGAAGAGAATACGGACGAGGAGACGGAGGTGGCGATTCTGAAGGAGGAGGACGACGACAACGACGATCATGAGGACGGAGATGACGATGAAAACGACGAAGAGAGGCCCAGAGTTGAGAAGACGGAGGTGAAACTGTTGCGGGGGATGGAGGTGGAGGAGGCTGGCAGGAACAGGAGGAAGAGGACCCGCCGAGGCATGCTCCCTGGCGCTCTCTGGCCAGCTCCAAGCTCGCCGCAAGAGTCACACATGATCGCACCAGCGTCACGCTTCAACGGAGCTCAGGGGATCGCGCGAGCGCGGAAACCGCTCGCGCCTTGGGTTCGAGCCTTCCTGGCCCGAGCCCGCCGAGGCAGAGAGGGTTCTCAGGCAGCAGCCGCGGAGCCCAGCCCGCTTGGTGCCCAGACCTCTGGTGCCCTTTTTATTCAACGCGTGGGACCCTGTGCCTCCCTCGATGCGCCCTCGCGGCCGCGCCCGGGACCCGCCGCGTGACTCCGGTCGCAGCGCGCGCCCTGGGAAGAGACACGCCCCGGGGGCCCGCGGGCGACGGAGGTCTGGGTGCAGAGTCAATCGGCGGCAAGCGAGGGGGGGAAGTGAGGAGGAGAAGGCCTTGTCAGAAGGCGGCGGGACTTCTCAGGAGCCCCCCCGGGGCTTCTGAGAAGCTTTCTGCGTCTTCGGGGAAGGCTCAGAAAACTTCTCGGAAGACCGGGGGACTTCCGAGCCTTCTGAGAAAGCCCAGCCCTTCTCTCTTCCCCCCCCCGGGGCTCGCCGCCGATGTTCACCCCCCTTCCAAGGGACTGGTTTTGTGCCCGTGCGTTCGTGGTTTCTCGACGGGCCCGGGGTCCAGAATCGGCCCCTGGAGGGCTGAATCGGGCGTTGTGTAATGAGAGGGGTGATGGATTTGGGGCGGGTTCGATTATCTGTCCGTGGTTATGAACCGTTTCTTCTCGCTGACTTATAACTGCCCTCGTTTCCGCCCCTACCTGGCCGCCTGTCTCACATTGTTCCTGATGCGCTCTCTTAGGAAGGCTTCTGTCGTTGGAGTGAAAACATTACGCCGGGATCGAGGGCTACCAGGAAGGGACCCTCAAGAGGCCCCCTGAACGCCCGGATGGAAAGAAGGCAAATCTTCAGAGACAGCGGTGTGATTTGCCTGCAAGGCGTCGGAGGCCTGGGTTGCGCCCACCCTCTGCGCGGTGCAGCGATGGCGGTGGTGGTCCCCCGCAGCTTCCGCCTGCTGGACGAGCTGGAGCAGGGCCAGAAGGGCGACGCCATGAGCGGCGTGTCGTGGGGACCCTGCGCAAGGGGGGTCGACGCCTGCCGTGCGCCTGTGTGCCCAGTCCTGCCCCGGGGGAACGGTCCTCGGGGCCTCCCCACCCATAGCTCCGAGGTGTTCTCCCGCCTGTTGTTTGGAGAGCTCTTCCGCTGGCCCTGGTAGGGTCTCCTGGAGTTCTTCGAGTTCGTAGGTTTCCCAGGTTTTCCGTTTCGCCTAGGATGATCCAGTCGTTTCTTCATAGATTTCGGCTCCCTGGCCCGTCATCGAGCCCTGGGACCACCGAAAAAGAATCCCAGGCGCGAGATGGCTCCCCTGGGGAGGGGTCGGGGGCTGGGGCCGCGGATAGAACGAATCATGCTGTCTGGAAGTACGGGGTCCAAGCAGGATGGGGTCGGAGGATCGCGCGGCATCGCCGATGCATCGGCGATGCGTCGCGATGTGGGGCTCGACTTTCTCCGCGCTGACGTCGCCGATATATCGCCAGCGTCAATGCATCGCCGATGCATAAGCGATGCCTCGCCGATGCGGCGCCATCCACTGACCCCACCCACTCGGATCCCATTTGCGAGGCCTCTGGGGAGAGCTCCGGGGTTCCAGGCTCGAGGTCTTTGGGCCCAGACTTCTGCTGTGACGTCTTTGGCGCCCCCGTGGCTTCGGGCCCTAGGACCATCAGAAAGGAATTTGCGGGATGCAAGCGATTGCCCCTGGGGGAAGGGGTCCCGCAGATTGCGCAGCTCGCATCGTCTGATGTCTGTGGGGCGTCTCGGAGCCTTTCTGTGCCTCCCTCGATGCGCCCTCGCGGCCGCGCCCCGGGACCCGCCGCGTGACTCCGGTCGCAGCGCGCGCCCTGGGAAGAGACACGCCCCGGGGGCCCGCGTCGCGGGAAAGGCATGGCGACGGAGGTCTGGGTGCAGAGTCCATCGGCGGCAAGCGAGGGGGGGAAGTGAGGAGGAGAAGGCCTTGTCAGAAGGCGGCGGGACTTCTCAGGAGCCCCCCCGGGGCTTCTGAGAAGCTTTCTGCGTCTTCGGGGAAGGCTCAGAAAACTTCTCGGAAGACCGGGGGACTTCCGAGCCTTCTGAGAAAGCCCAGCCCTTCTCTCTTCCCCCCCCCGGGGCTCGCCGCCGATGTTCACCCCCCTTCCAAGGGACTGGTTTTGTGCCCGTGCGTTCGTGGTTTCTCGACGGGCCCGGAGTCCAGAATCGGCCCTTCTCGCCTCCCCCCAGGGCTCGCCGCCGAGTCAAGACGCTGAAACGAGGGACAGTTGGTGTCTAAATGCGGATCGAAGTGCCTTAGGTCCTTCTGTGGTTGTTCCTCTGGCCCTCCTCGTACACGCTGGCGCTGTACTGGGGCCAAAAAAAAAGATTCATTCCTTATGTACCTGCGGTCCGACTGTCGTGTGTTCCTGGGTCCACCCCCGCAGAGACGCGAAGATGTTTGCGCCTCTCGCGCGTCCCGTCCCAGGGTCCAGTTCGATCCGATCGATCCGATCGATCCAATGCGGTTCCGATTCGGTCCGACGTTTCGGTACTATGTTGTCTGATCCTGCGGCTTGGGCCAGCTCGAAGGTAGCCGCGCGTCGCGGCCCTGCGCGGCGTGATGCGAGAGGTGAGAAGTGACCTATCTAGGTATCTTCGCCCAGGCCCTGAGCATGTAGTCAACACCAGTCATGCAAGACCTTTGGGACGCGCCGGAAAAAAAACAGCAAGTGTACACACACAAACACACACACACACATGTTAGCCAACGAGGACCCCAAACAGCGCATCATTCCACTGAAGAGGTGGAAGCTATGCGGCTTAAGCGATGAGGTTGATTATATGTCGCGTAAGCTCGGTGGTGTGAGCCATGGAGGTGGGAACCATGCGGTGCAATCTATGTGGTGTAAGCTATGTCCTGTCAGCTATGCAGTGCGAACTGGAGGTGGAAGTCACGTCGTGCGATGTGTGCGGTGCAAGCTATGCCGTGGAAGCCGTGCCGTGCAGGCTCAAGTCAAGTCACGGGGCGCCCACCAGGCGCGCACAGAGCCGCCGCGTGCGGCGACGCGGCGAACACCCAACACGACCCCGAAGCGCGGGGGCGCTCACGAGGCGCTCACGAGGCGCCCCCGGGCGAACACCCAACACGGGCCCGTTCTCCACCACCACCACCACCATAAGTTGAAGGGCGAGGGGGTCCTCCTCCTCCTCCTCGTCCTCCTCCTCCTCCTCTTCTTCCTCCTCCTCCTCCTTCTTCTCCTCCTCCCTCCTCCTCCTCCTCCTCCTCCTCCTCCTCCTCCTCCTCCTCCTCCTCTTCTTCGGCCTCCTCCTCCTCCTCCTCCTCTTCCTCCTCCTCCTCCTCCTCCTCCTCCTCCTCTTCGGCCTCCTCCTCCTCCTCTTCGGCCTCCCCCATCCAACTTGTGGTGGTGGTCCTGGCAACACAGGCCGGTCAAAGGGCGGCAGAGGGGCCAGAGCCCTACCCACACTCCCCCAAGCGCGGCCCACGGGGCGCCCCATGAGGTGTCCACGAGGCGGCAGTGCGTGTCGAAACAGAGACGCGGGGCGCCCGCCGGGCTGTCCACGAGGCGGCACGGGCCCGCGGCGTGGCGGAACCCCCGCCATCCCCTCCAGATCCTCCTCGTGTTTCTATGCCGCGTTCTCCTATTGCTATTCTTCCTTCTCCTATTTCTATTCCTCCTCCTCCTATTTCTATTTCTATTCCTCCTCCTCCTCCTCCTCCTATTTCTCCTCCTAGTTCTAGGTATGTTTCCTCCTCCTCCTCCTCCTATTTCTATTCCTTCTCCTCCTCCTATTTCCATTACTTCTCCTCCTCCTCCTCCTATTTCTATTCCTCCTCCTCCTCCTCCTCCTCCTCCTCCTCCTCCTCCTCCTCCTCCCTCCCCCTCCCCCTCCCCCTCCCCCTCCCCCTCCCCCTCCCCCTCCCCCACCTAACCCGAAGTAAGCGAGCCTAGAGCCCCTAAGTGCAAGCACAAATCGCTCTGACCGTCGGACAACTCAAGGCTGTCGTGTACCCTCGCGAAGAGGCCCAATTCCGAACCCATCTAGTTACTGTAGCACCTAAACCGATGCTGGACGCGGGCGTATAGCAGGCGTCTTCCAAGGACTGGCCATCCCAGACGACATCACGCTCACCCACTGGAACTATTGGGAGCCAAGAAGGGGCACAGAAATGATTTTCGGAGGTCTGCGGTCGGCGTTGGACCCCCACCCTCCACCCGTCTCGTGGCGCGCGGGGGGGCAGACCCAAGAAATCCGCGCGGACCTTCGAAATTCGATGATTGTGCATGTTTGGGGGATGCCTAGGACGGGCACCATCTTCGGCCCTCCGGGCACGGCCTACGACAACCGCATCTACTGTCTGTCGATCACTGCCGGGCAGCAGTACCCCGACCGTGCCCCGGAGGTCAAGTTCGGCACCCAGATCAACATCTCGAACGTGGACGCCAGAACCGGGGAGGTGCAGAAGGACTTCCCCCTCTTGCGGGGCTGGAGGCGCGAGTTCACGATCGAGAACGTCCTCACGGAGCTCCGGAAGAGCATGGTTCAGCCAGCCAACCGCAGGCTGCCGCAGCCGGCCGAGGGCACCAACTACTGAGGCCGCCGAGGCCGGCCCTCCTCCCATCCGAGGGCGGGGCCTCGAGCTGAGCGGTGTTCTGGCGATTCCGCGGACCGTTTTCGTTCGCGCAGTCGGACCGAGGTAGAAAAGGTCGAGGTCGGGTCGAGGAGGATGCCTCAGTGTTCTTGCTCGTTGAATACTCTTGTGCACCCTGGGGAGGGTACCCTTGGCGTTCTGAGTGTACTCGGCCGGCGGAGGGTCTCGCGTGCTTGAGGGATGTCCACTTGGCCTAGGTCCGACTGTAGCTGCTCTGATGCTCCGTTGCCGAATCGCAAGACGTGCCGTGTTCGAAACGTCAGGGTTCGCACGCCGAGTGGTCGCCCGGCACGCGTTAGCTCACGTTTGCGGCGCACGCGGATCGCGCCAGACCTACGTTCTCAGTCTACTTGCGTGTTGAGCCCCGTGTGGACACGTTACTTGTTGCGTGCTGCGTATCGGGGCAGCTATGTTTTTTTCGCTTCGGTAGCGTTGTGCGGCAGCGTAGGCATAAGGGGGGATGCATCGACCCCCAACCGCCCATTTTTTGCCGATAGGGCCCCGACAGCCCCAACCTGCCCAGGAAGGCCTATCGCCGATCTATCGGCGATACATCGTCGATTCCAGGTCACTGCTTCCCCCCCTATGCCCATCCCTCCCTATCGTCGCCCCTCAAAACAGAACGAAGACGGAAGCACTGTTCAGCTCGAGCCCCGTCAGAGGGCGCACGCGGCGCGAAGAGCGCTCCAGCCTCCGCGCGCTCCGACCTCGACCTGCTCCTGCCCAGGCCGGCCGGCCCTCCCCTGAGCTCTGGGCGTTGCAGCTGCTGGGCGTCTCCGCCCGGCTTAGGGCCTCAGGACCCTCTCGGGCCAGACGAAAGAGGGGGGTACGAAATTTGCTGCATGCAGCTGGTTTCGGCCCCGCCGCCGGGCCCATTCCTCGATACATGGCCGCCTCCAGCGCCGGGAAAATCAGCTCCGTGAGCTGAGTCTCAAGCCCCTCCTTTTGCTTTCCCCCCCTTTTCGCCCAGCCCGACGGGCGTCTCCGCCCAGCTTCGGGCCCCAGGACCCTCCCAGCTGTCGGTGCGGCCTGCAGGACGGCACAGAACGACCGGTTTGGGGTTGCCTTGCCGCGAAGTTTATACGAGGCTGCAGCTGTTCCGTGGCGTCGGATCGCAGGGTTGGTTGTCGTGGTCGGCTTGCCACCCCAAAGGGCCAGGGGGCGCAGGAACTCGCTACAGTGCCGTTTTTAATACATGCTCCGCGTGCGGATCATGTCTGACAAATGCAGGGATTCAGTATTAAAAACAACGATGAGTTCATGCGTAAATTTATTCATGCATTCATCATGGATTAAACATTTTGTATTTGAAAATGATATAGATTGAAAGCTGCCCTGTACACAGACCCCCAGAGGCCGAAGCGAAATCTTGCAGCACCCAGCTGGTTCACGGCCTGCTTCGCTGTTTCCAGACCTCCGACGTCGTGACTCTTTCAGAAGGGGGCCCCAGACGCTTCGACGCCTCTTCCAGTGACCTGCAGACTTCTCGACCTTTTTTTCTGGTGACCGCCTCCAGACCCTCTTGCATAGTTTCCCTGGATTGTTTTTGGTGTGGTGGCTACAGGGCCTGAAAACGCCCACCGCAGGGAGCCTAAATATGAAAACAACAAGTGTAGCTCATATAGGTCGGATACTCTGATTTCTGAGGTTGGCATTGCAAAGGCCTTGGGGCGGGTACTGCCGACCCTGGACGACGACCCCCACGATGAAAGCGGCATTCGGGAAGGTCGGGGTCAGACGCTCCCAAGAGTGCCCAAGAGGCTACACGAGGGCCCAAAGAGGTGCCCAAGAATCCCACGAAGTTTTGACCTCCTGGGGCTTCCTGACGGTTCCTTGGGGGTGCCTGGGGGCCTCGTGGGGGCCCCTGGGGGGGCCTCTTGGGCCCCAGGACCACAGTGGGATGGCATCTTGACTTGCCCCCCCCCCCCCCAGGACCCCCGCCCCCCCCCCTCGGCCCCCCCCCCGACCCCCCCACCCCCCCCGTGGACCGGGAGTCCCCCCCCCTCCCCCGGCGGGAAAGGGATCCCAAGGAAAGGGGCTTATTGTCGACTCAACTACGACGCTGCTTCTGGGTTGATGGCCCCCCCCGGGCGCCTGAAAATGCCCACCGCAGGGAGCCCGAACGTGAAAACACAAAATGCAGGCCCGATTGGTCAGATGCGATACTTGTTGAGATTGGTATTTCTATGTTTGGCCGCTTCCTGGCCTCTGGAAGTCCGGGGTCTTGGTAGTTTTGGCCGCCTCCTGGCCTCTGGAGAGGGCCTGGGCCACCATACCAGCGGACCACGGCCATGTGTCCGCTACTCCCCCTCCCCCTGCCTCCGCAAATAGTCCCCCCGGACCTCCAGAGCATCAATTTTCGTTGAAGCCCCGCGACGTGTTGCTGAATCTCGGCCTCCAGGTGCCGTTTGCGGCCCCGTTTTGCCATCAAGACTGGGTCCAGGACGAGAAATTGCCCCCCTGGGGAAGGCAGGGGTCGAGACTTCTGGGCCCCCGGGAGCCCCCCTGTCTCCATGAGGTAGGTTCACGCCTCGTTAACTCGGCGGCGACTCCAGCGCGGGCGTTCAAAATTGAACGCCGCCATTGGCCCGAAACCGGTCGGAATCGAACGAGCCGCGCTATCGGAAAGCTGCCATCGTTCGAGGTTGATCGACCCGCGCGGTATCAGAGACCCGCGCCGGCGCCATCGTGGTGTGAAGCTGCCATGCCATCCTTCCGCCGCGCCGCCATCGATCGAGGTTCGAGGATGAGACCTCGAAGGATTGAGGATCCGGGTCATCTCCCGAGAGCTCCATCCTCCCGCTCGTCGTCCCACCAGGGCTGTACGTGCAGCCGAGGCACGGCGGGTGCTCGTCCGAGGCCGACGGCCCAGGCTTTCAGGCGGCCGCGCCGAGGAGCTGCCCCTGGAGTGAGGCCGCACTGGCACCTCCTCCTCCTCCTCCTCCTCCTCCTCCTCCTCCTCCTCCTCCTCCTCCTCCTCCCCCTCCCCCTCCTCCTCCTCCTCCTCCTCCTCCTCCTCCTCCTCCTCCTCCTCCTCCTCCTCCTCCTCCTCCTCCTCCTCCTCCTCTCCCTCCCCTCCCCCTCCCCCTCCCCTCCTCATCCTCCTCCCTCCTCCCCCTCCCCCTCCCCCTCCCCTCCTCCCTCCTCCTCCTCCTCCTCCTCCTCCTCCTCCTCCTCCTCCTCCTCCTCCCTCCTCCTCCTCCTCCTCCTCTCCTCCTCCTCCTCCTCCTCCTCCTCCTCCCCCTCCCCTCCTCCTCCTCCTCCTCCTCCTCCTCCTCCTCCTCCTTCCTCCTCCTCCTCCTCCTCTCTCCTCCTCCTCCTCCTCCTCCTCCTCCTCCTCCCCTCCCCCTCCCCCTCCCCCTCATCCTCCTCCCTCCTCCCCCTCCCCCTCCCCCTCCTCCTCCCCCCCTCCTCCACCTCCTCCTCCTCCTCCTCCTCCTCCTCCTCCTCTCCTCCTCCTCCTCCCTCTCCTCCTCCTCCTCCTCCTCCTCCTCCCCCCTCCTCCCTCCTCCTCCTCCTCCTCCTCCTCCTCCTCCTCCTCCTCCTCCTCCTCCTCCTCCTCCTCCTCCTCCTCCTCCTCCTCCTCCTCCTCCTCCTCTCCTCCTCCTCCTCCTCCTCCTCCCTCCTCCCCCTCCTCCCCCTCCCCCTAGGCAATGCCCTGGACTCGTGGCGGACAGTCTCTTTTCTTCCAGCTGCGTGCCGTTCTGCTCTCCCTCGGCCTCCAGGGGGCCGCCTGTGGGCCCCAGGGCACTCAAGAGACGATCCAGGACTGAAGAGCTGCCCCGGGGGAGGTCCTCCTCCTCCTCCTCCGCCTCCTCCTCCTCCTCCTCCTCCTCCTCCTCCTCCTCCTCCTCCTCCTCCTTCTCCCCTCCTCCCCCTCCTCCCCCTCCTCCTCCCCTCCTCCTCCTCCTCCTCCTCCTCCTCCTGGTGGGACCTCGCCCAGGCCCGGCGGACAGTCCTTGGGCCTCGCGCACTGGGGGAGCGAGAAACGGGTGGACGGCGAGGGCTGCAGAACAGGGGCCCTGCAGGGCCCCTACAGGGGCCCACGACGGCCCTGAGGGCCCGGGAAGGGCGTTCGTCTTCCCCCCGCGCTCATGGCCCCCCCCAGATTGATTCGCGCAAAGTCCACCAGGAGTCTGGGCCAATTGCAGCACTGACCACCTCGGGCGGGGGCTGTCTGAGTGCAGCCCTTGGGCTTTTTTGGCGCTCCCCCCTCGAGATCCTTAACCGCAGAGGGAAGATCTCGACCCTTGCCCTCGCTGCCTGGCCAGACCAGAAAGCCCATCTCCCTTGCGCTCGGCCACCTGTTCTCCCTTCCCCTCCCCTCCTACTCCGCCTTCTCTTTCACATCCTCCCCCTCGCCCTCCTCATCCTCTCCTCCCTGCTCCACAAGTGCGCAGTATGAATGCTATTCTCCCCTCTCCTCAGACCCTGCTTCTACATCCTGATTTTTAGCGCATTGGGTCTCAACATGTGGCGTTGTTGCTCATGTGGTTTTGTCAATCGGAACGTTCTCGGTGTTTTAAGATGGTGCGTTTCCACTGCAATAGTCGTATTCTTTTTCGGATCGACGCTTTGCTCCCGTCGTTCAGCATGGCGTTATCGCCCCAGCGCGGGCCACCATTCTGGATCCGAGTCCTTCCTCGTCGTTTTCGTCTCGTCCCTCCACCCTCCTCCGTCTTCCTTTGGTCCCCCCTGTTTCTTTTCCCTCTGTCTGATCGTCCTCATTTGCCTATTTCCCAGACATGCGGCTGCTCCAATTTTTTCGATGCGTGGGCCCCAGAAGTTCGGACCACTACCCCAGGGTTGGCTTTTCGGTCCTGAGTCGTTCTTTGACGCTCCCGAGGCCTGGCGAGGGCCCCTGGAGGCCGAAAGCTGCCCAACTCCCGCCGCTCCTATTTCTTTGGAGCGTCGGATCTTTGGGTTCGCTGGCGGTAAAAAGGAGAAGGAGGAGGAGGAGGAGCAACAGGCAGCAGGGAAGCGAGGAGAAGAGAGCTGGAAGGCGGGGGGAGGAACAGGGAGCAGACCGCAGGGACGAGGAAACAGGTGGGCTGCATTGACGAGCACGGGCGTGCGACACCCAGTCGACGACGACGACGACGACGACGACGACGACGACGACGACGACGATGGCAAGATTCGTCGTGAGGCGCGTTCTGGCCAGCATCTCGAGGCGGATCCAGCGGCGGCTGCACGAGCGCTCCTCGGACTTCCTCGAAGAGCCCCGCAGACGCCCGAGAGCCTCGAGCCTCGATCCTCGATCCCCCCTCCCCTCTGACGTCGCATTTCTGCTCGTGACGTGAGCCTCCTGTGGCCCGGGCTCTCGACCCCATGCACCCCCGCGGCTCCGGCCCCCTCTCCTGATTGATGGTGCTTCTGCGGTCCCGGGGGCCAGGGCTGGCAGCCTCGGAGGGGCCGAACCTATCGAGAGTAGCTGGCCACCCTCGCACACGGGCAGACCCCGTGGAGCCATGAAAAAATCACGACGGGAGGTTTTCCTCTATTTTCAGCCTCTGGGGGCCCTTACCGGGCCTCGGGACCGTCAAAAAACAAGTCGGGACGAAACACCTGTCCTGCGGGGAAGGGGTCGAGACCCCTGGGGGTCGACGCCATGCAAAAATCATGGCGTCGGGGGTCTGGGCCTATATACGGCTGAAGTACCGCGCTGGCATGACGACGACCGATGTCGCCAGCCCGAGCGCGCGAGGGCCCGGGCAGCAGTCGGGAGATGGGGCGCCGTCCGCGTCGACGATGCCGGGAGCGCGCGCAGGCCCGGGCCGCCCCCGCCGCCGGCGGACAGCGCCCGCGCCGGCGCGCCGCCTCCGCCGCGCGCCGCCGCGCAGACGGGCGCGCCGCCGCCGGCGTGGGAGCCCGCGCGCCCCGGGCCCCCGCCGCCGCCGCGCAGCGCAGCGCACCCGGGCCCCGCGCCCTCGGCGGCCCTCGGTGGCCCTCGGCGGCCCCCCGCCGCCGACGCACAGCACGCCGCACCTCGCCCGCGCAGCACGTGCCGCTGCCGCCCTCGCCGTCGCCGAGTCGTCGTCCCCGAGGCGGCGGGCCGCCAGGTGTGGGCCTCCCGCGAGCGAGCCGCCGCAAGCCACGGCCCTCGAAGAAGACGGCGACAGCGACACGGACGGCAGCCGTGACGGCGACGGCGACGGCGAGAGCGACGGCGACGACGGCTGCGACCACGGCGACCATAGGAGTGCGACGGTTATACGACGGCGACGTCGACGACGAGGGCGACCCTGGCGACGAGGGCGACGGCGACGACTCTACGCCGACGACCTCGACGGCGACCACAGCGATTCCTCCTCCTCCTCCTCCTCCCTCCCTCCTCCTCCTCCTCCCTCCTCCTCCTCCTCCCTCCTCCTCCTCCTCCTCCTCCTCCTCCCTCCTCCTCCCTCCCTCCCTCCTCCCTCCCTCCCTCCTCCCTCCTCCTCCTCCCTCCTCCTCCCTCCTCCTCCTCCTCCTCCTCCTCCTCCTCCTCCCACGACGACCTGGCAAGAGGCCCGCCGCCGGCCCCCGGCTGCGCCCGCCCCGGGCCGCCCGCGCCCGCGCCCGGCCCGCGCGGGCCCCGGGCCGCCGCTGGCTCCCAGGGGCGCCGCGCGCCCCGGCCCGGGCTCGCCGGCCTCGGGCGCGGGGCTCGGGGCGCCTGCCGCGCGGCCTGCGAGCGCCCGCGCGTCCTCCTCCTCCTCCTCCTCCTCCTCCTCCTCCTCCTCCTCCTCCTCCTCCTCCTCCTCCCCTCCTCTCCTCCTCCTACTCCTCCTCCGCCTCCTCCTCCTCCTCCTCCTCCTCCTCCTCTTGAAGCAGTGGCGAAGCGTCCTGGCGTGCCTATCGGCCCACCAGACAGGGTTCTAAGAGCCTTTGGTGGTCTACACGTCGTGTGCTTACCGGACACTTCTGGCTGGGACTGTCTGGTTTTAACACGTCGGGTTCGTGTTCTAAGAACAGTGCTTTTGCTCTTAGAACACTGTTGGGTTCTAAGAACATTTCGGGGTAGGCCTATAGGAATGCCGGGACGGTCGGTCCCTGCTCAACTCCCGCGCGGGCGCGAACGCACGCGCGGCCTGCGGCGACGCAGAGAGCCGACGACCTGAGGAAGCTGGGCGCCCCAGACCCCTTCACGTTGTGAAGAAAAGCACGACGGGAAATTCTTTTCGTTACGTTCGGACTCTGGAGGCCCTTACCGGGCCTCGGGGGAAAAATGACTCGGGACGAGAAACCGGTCCCGGGGAAGGGGTCGAGACTTCTGGGGGTCGGCATCGTGACAAAATCATGACGCCAGGGGTCTGGGGCGGCTGGTTTCTGGCCGTTCTCGGCCTCCAGGTATCCTCGCCAGGCCTCGGGGCCGTCCAAGAACGACCCAGGACGAACAACCGGTGTGGTCCAGACCTCCGGGGCCCACGCATCGAAGACACTGGAGCGGCCAGATGTCTGGGGACGAAGGCTGGGCGCGGCGAGGACCCAGACATGCGACATCCAAGACGCTGCAATAAGGACCAATGGAGCGACGAAAGTAAACGGGTTCGCCGAAACTGGCCCTGGAGGAAGGGGGCTGGACTCCTGCGGGCCCCGCATTGACAATATGAACACCGGATGTCTCTGAAGGGCGGACGCGGCGGGGAGGTGTATGGCACTGGTCCCGTGCAGATTCGGAGTCAAAGTCGACGACAACGTCGCCGCCGACCTTCCGGGGATCCTGTTGCGAGTTTCCAGACGTCCTCGTCGCCGCGGCAGTGCGCGGCCCGAGAGGTTCTTCCGGGGACGGGTCTTGTAAGGGACGTGTTCGGAAGGCGACGGGGACGGCGACGGCGGTGTCGACGAGGAGGAAGTGGATGCGGGAGACACGGAGGAGCAGGAGCAAGCATGAACAGGCATGAGCAGGAGCAGGAGTGGGAGCGGCGGCGGCAACCCGGACGAGTTATGTGTGTGTATATATATATATATATATATAACAGGCAGTCCATCCCATGTGCAGCGCAGCTTGCAAGACCATCCGATGAACTGAGGAGGGACATGAAAGAGGAGACCAAGGCGCAGCGCAGCTTGCAGCCCTGACGGAGTAGATTATATAGGCCTGCGCCACATCTGCCGACCCCTATATAAACTACTGCGTCTCCAGGGCTGCATTTCACGAGGCTTGTTCGAATCATGGCACGGCGCTCGACATCGTTCCTGTTGCCTCGTTGCTGTTGTCGTATCTCTTGGTGCTCTTCTGCGGCCTTTTGGTGGCATCTTGGCCTGCCCGCGCGAAATGCAGTCATGTCAAAGCGACGACGAACTCGCGGAGCGGCAACGCGAAGTGGAGCGACAGCGTCGGCACTGTGCGATGTTCGAACGAGAAGTGCCTGTCGCTGTACGAGGAGAAGGCGGACATGTCGGATGCACAGAAGAAGCACCATGCAGCGGGGGTGAGGCTGTGTAGGAAATGCGCGGAGGAACGTGACACGGCGACGCGCGAGTCGAATCATAGGAAGCGTAAAGAAGAGGCGGTGGCGAAGCCGCTGACGTGCTGCGCGCCAGGATGCGGGGTGAGTTTTTGGGAGACGGGACATTTGAATCGCAACCAGGTGGAGGACCATAGGGCGAAGAAGCGAGCGAGAGTGGTGTGCGGGGACTGCAGTAAGCGCGACATAGCCGCGAAAGGGGTCGTCGATGAGTCGAAGCGGTTGAAGCGGCTGCTGACATGTGCGGCGTGCAAGAAAGAGTTCGCTCGGCAGCAACACATCAGCGACGATCAAGAGAGTAAACACTTCACGGGGAAGAGTAACTTTGTATGCGCAGGTTGCATTGCCAACGGGCTCACGGTGCGCTGTTGACAAGCCTTTCCGAGCAGTGGCAAGTGCCAGAGGAAATTGCCGAAGTCGGATTTCTCCGTGGACGCGAGCCATGTCGCGCGTGACGAGAAGAAGGGCATCTTGAAATGCAAGGCGTGCAAATGATACCAGTAGGGCGCCCGTGCCATGGCCAGTAGAAGTAGGAGCAGCGGGGGTCCGAGCGAGACGGAGGACGAGGCCGATGATAGGAACACAAATAAGGTGAAAGCAGAGGAGGAGGAGGAGGAGGAGGAAAAGGAGGAAGAGGGAGGAGGAGAAGGAGCAAGGGGGAATATGGGGGAGAGGCGGAAGGGGGGGTCAGGCTGCAAGTGCCAGAGGCAATTGCCGAAGTTGGCTTTCTCCGTGGACGCGTGCCATGTCGCGCGTGACGAGAAGAAGGGCACCTGGAAACGCAAGGCATGCGAATGGTACCAGTAGGGCGCCCGTGCCATGGCCAGTAGAAGTAGGAATAGCGGGGGCCCGAGC